CTTTTGATTATATAAATTACAATCCTTGTGCCACGGATGTTTGTGTGCTTCTTCCTGTAGACTTAGTTGACATCTCACTTAGATGGCTGCTTGTTTGCAAACAAGTGTTTAAAATCCAAGATGGTGCTGGGCACCATCGAATAGTCCCCGCACTTTGCTTATAGCAACCATATCTTCTCTGTTCCCTTCCTGTGGGCACGTATTGAGCAGGGCCATGATGTAAGAACTAATTGTTCTTAAATTGGAGCTACGATTTAGTGTGAGCCCTCAATCCATTCCTGGATCTGTATTGGTTTTTTCCCTGCGTTTGGCTCCCCTTAGAGACCTCCTTGTTAATGTATGGTCGAGAGTGATAACGATCATCTCCTTGGAGCATGAAAGATCTTGTCATTGATTATCCCCGGTATTAATGTATGAAACATTGTTTAAAGAGGGATATTGGACCAGTGAAGGCTAACTACATATCGTAATACTTGGGCTATTGTACAGAATAAATCCTTATTGGCTGGACATTATTTACACAAACAATGGGAATCGGTTGTCAAGCAAAATTTATAATATTATTCATTGACAGTTTCAATCACAGGTGTGCTGGGATAATCTGTATCTTAATACCGCAAATAGTGCGTTTGAAGATTCAGTGCCCCAGTGTTCTCCAACACTTGGCCTGGCTCTCCAGGGTGTGTCCAGAAACTCAGGCCAATGGTTTATTAGGTGCCTATTACCATGGGTACCCTCCCCCCCTCCTTAGGGTCCTTAAAACTGTGTTAGTCATTTTTCCCCCAACTTTGAGGTCAGTGCTCCCCCCATTTTCTGCCAACAATCATGCACTGCGTTCTTCCGAACGTGTCTGCTCCCTTTCCCCTCTCCTGACTTGCGTTTCCCATAGGATCCTTTATTCCTCTCATAGGGATGTTTACCTGGTGGGGGGTGAGACTCTCTTAGCTTTGCATGGCAGCCACCCAGTGGTCAGCATGCTTTCTTCCTCCCATGACAATTTGACCCCAGTGGAGGTGAAGAGGCCTCTCTCAAAGTGACCTTCAAGATACATACCTAG